CACTTAACCACGACACCAAACAAGGCGCATGTGACCAGAGGACTGTGTGAAACAGAAAGGCCGATTAGAGACAACGGTCATAATAATAGTCTGGAAGGGCTCCAGTTATGCTTCTTATCTCTGCATACCAACACCGGTTTGCAGAAGCAGGACCTTCTGATAAGAACATGAGAGCCCATGTGCAGGATCAGACACATGGTCCATCTAGTCCGCTCTCTTGTTTCTCACAACGGCCTGCCAATTACTCTCCAAGTAGGGCACAGAGGCCAAAACGTCTCTCCCTGTTGTTGAGGCTGAGGTAGGTGGGGCTGAGAGAGCTCTCTTGAGGACTGCCCTTGAGAGAACAGACTGCCTCTGAACCAATGTTCCCTCTTAAGCTGAATCAGTGTGAGCTAGCTCACAGCTTTTTTAGCCTTTTGTCTCCGCTCAGGAAGGATGGCTCCAGAGCAAACTAATAGGCAGTAGTCGAATCGCTCGCTCACAGCTTTAATGCCAGCAGCTCACAAAGTAGAATTTTGGCTCACAAGACTCCACAGCTTAGAGGGAGCATTGCTCTGTACATGGGGGTTCCATTTACTCATCAAAAGAAACAGCCACCGATGGATCTCTCCCTCTTCCGTGAATGTGCTTAAACTCCTTTTAAGGCCAGCGAAACGAGAGGTTTTAAGGTCAGCGAAACTAGAGGTTGTCTATATTCTGTAGCAGCAGGGGTCATTTCCTGCAGGAGCACGCAGGGGGCGGGCACATGCGACAAGCCCCACCCCCTGCTCCCAGCAGCCCTCAGTCAGAGCAAGAAGCAGCCAGGTAAGTTGCAGAGCTCCCCCCCGCCCAAAACAGTCCAGTGGCACCTTTAAGATCAAGTTTTATTCAGGAAGAAGCTCTCCCTCCTCTGCAAGGGCAGATCTGCACGTTCCCCCCCCCCAATAGCTGGCAATCCAGAACAGTCTAGTGGCACCTTTAAGGCCAAGTTTTATTCAGGTACAAGCTCTCCCTCCTCTGTGAGGACAGATATGCACATCGTCCCCCCCACCAATAGGTAGCAATCCAAAACAGTCCAGTGGAGCCTGAGCAGTGGGTGCTGCCTTCTGACACACTTCTGGTGAGGTCAGGGGGTGTGGCATATGCAAATAAGTTATGCTAATGAGCTATGCTATTAAGCTCCTGAACCTCTTTTTCTACAAAATGACCCCTGTGCAGCAGTGAGTTCCATAAGTGAATAACTCAACACAAAGAGGTGCAAAGTGGACTGGGGGGGGGGAGTGTCCTTTCCTTTCTCAGTTCCCTGTTCTCCTCACACACACCCCGTTACCATTTGAATCCATTTACTCAACACAGCTCCATGTTATTGCTTTTTGATACGAAGATGGATGACAATATTTAGTTCTTTTAAAAAGGCAGCATGAGAGATGACACCCATTAATGTTTCAGAAAGACCAGATAGACCAGGGGTGTCAAACATAAGGCCCCGGGGGCCAGATCCGGCCCGTCCAGGGCTTTTATGCGGCCCGCAAGCATCTAGAAGAAGAAGAGATTGGATCTATACCCTGCCCTTCACTACCCAAAAGGTGTCTCAAAGCGGCTTACAAGCTCCTTTCCCTTCCCCTCCCCACAACAGACACCCTGTGAGGAAGGTGGGGCTGAGAGAGCTCCTGACAGAAACTGCTCTTTTTCAAGGACAGCTCTTATCAGAACTACGGCTTGCCCAAGGTCATCCAGCCAGGTGCAAGTGGAGGAGTGGGGAATCAAACCCGGCTCTCCCAGATTAGAGTCCACGCACTTAACCACTACACCAAACTGGCTCTCAAGTGTCCGGAAGGGAACAGGAGACTGCTCAGGGGGGAGTGGGTTCAGCATGGCGGAACAACTTTGTCTGCAGAAATCAAGCAGTGTAGGAGCGTCTGCCCAGTGCTGCACCGCTGGCTGTCCAGTCCACCCACGCAGGTTTTCCTTTGCACCTCCCTCTCAGCCAACTCGGACCTTACCAGCAGCTGTCCTTACAGTTTACAGCTCCAGTACCTGCCATTACATTTGATGGCACACATGGCTCGGCCCAACAAAGTAGCGTTTATGTCAGATCTGGCCCTCTGAACACGTGAGTTCGACACCTCTGAGATAGACTGTCAAAAGATGTCGTTTCTTGGCCTTGCAGCAAAGCATCTTCTCAAGGGGGCCAACGCCGGAAAGGCAGGCCTGTGAGCCGTCTCCCTTTCTCTCCCCCACCATTTTTGAAACGTAGCTGGGTAATTTTTAAGATTTTTTTTTTTAAAACCCAGCAAGTTTCTAGTTCTCTCCGGTCACTTACTTTGCTCATCCAGGATTTCCGTTTGCATATCGCCTTCTTCCTCTTCACAGCCTCCCAGAGGCGCCTCTGACCTGTGAAAGCCAAGAGAGGAAGGTCACTAAGCAATGCGGAGATATCCCTCCCACCCCATGTTGAACACTGCCTAGGAGTGCCAGGTGGGGTTTCGAGATCTCCAGGGATTCCGGCTGATCTGCAGACCACAGAGATCAGTTCCTCCTGGCAAAAACAGTTGTTTTGGAGGGTGGACTCTCTGCATGACACCTTGTTGAGGTCCCTCCCCTCGCTAAACCCCGCCCTACCCTGGATCCACCCCCAAATCTCCAGGTATTTCCCAAGCAGGAATTGGCAACCCTCACGAAACAGGTCGCCCAATGCTCTGCCGTGGCTCTAATTTTACAATCAGAGAGTTGCAACAGCTGACTACCAGTCTGGTGTCGTGGCTAGGAGCGCGGACTCTAATCTGGCAGAACCGGGTTCGGTTCCCCACTCCTCCACTTGCAGCTGCTGGTGTGACCTCGGGTCAGTTACAAGGTTTCTCAGAGCTGTTCTGGAAAGAGCAGTCCTCAAAAGAGCTCTCTCAGCCCCGCCGACCTCACAGGGTGTCTGTTGTGGGGAGGGGAAGGGAAAGGAGTTTGTAAGCCCCTCTGAGACTCCTTTGGGTAGTGAAGGGCGGGGTATAAATCCAATCTCCTCTCCTTCTCTGCCTCCACATGAGCACACAAGAAGCTGCCTTGTACTGAATCAGACATCTGATCCCTCAAGGTCAGTATTGTCTACTCAGACTGGCAGCAGCTCTCCAGGGTCTCAGGCAGAGGGTCTTTCACGTGATACACTACCCGGTCCTTTTAGCGGGAGATGCCGGGGATTGAACCTGAGACCTTCTGAATGCAAAGCAGATGCTCTGCCACTGAGCCACACAGCCCCTTCCCAATCCTGGGACTCCGGGCTACTCGGTCAGCCTTTCTACATTCTATTTCTGTTCTAGGTGTTACTGAGACAATGTGTGTGAAGTATAAATGAGAAATGGGAAGAAGAAGAAGAAGAGGAGGAGGAGATTGGATTTATACCCTGCCCCTCACTCGGAGTCGCAGAGCGGCTTACAAACTCCTTTCCCTTCCCCTCCCCACAACAGACACTCTGTGAGGTAGGCGGGGCTGAGAGAGCTCCTTCGAGCACTGCTCTTGAGAGAACAGCTCTGACAGAACTATCACTTGTCCGAGGTCATCCAGCAGCTGCAAGTGGAGGAGTGGGGAATCAAACCCGGTTCTCCCGGATTAGAGTCCACGCAGTTAACCACCACACCAAACTGGCAAATAGATCACAGGCCAAGTGTGTGTGTGTGTCTACTGGGCAATTTCTAACAGACCACCTGGTGCTTGCCAGTTGCTGGGATACTTGCAAAGAATACCGGAGAAGGTCACTTTTGGTTAATCCGAATTTCATAGAAATGAGCTGCAGATTCAGACTCGCCGAGCACCACCTCGAGTCTGTACTCTTGCATGCCGAATGCAAGCGACAGAGATTCCAAATGAAAAAGTAATTTTTTAATCCATTCCCCTATTTCAGGGACCTTATCTTGTTTCCAACATTGAGCATACTGGGCACCTGTTTGCCAGTTGCTGGGATTCTTTCAAAGAATACCAGAGAAGGTGACTTTAGGTTAATCCAAATTTCATAGAAATGAGCTGCAGATTCAGACTCGCCGAGCACCACCTCGAGTCTGCGCTCTTGCATGCCGAATGCAAGCGACAGAGATTCCAGATGAAAAGAACACGGACCACACAGGATTCAAACCCGCCCTCCGCCCGATTCCATGACCTCCGATTCGGCACTGCAGTTAGCAGGCTGCAAAGGGGGGGAGTCGGTCGACTGACTCACCGGGACGGCCCATGCCAATTTTCTCCAGATCTTCATTTTTGACATACTCGAAGTGCGAGAGCCGCGTCACGTTGAGGTCGTCGCGGATCCTCAGGAAATACTGCTGCAGCTGGACCTCGGTCAGCAGCTCCAGCAGCCAGTCTGTCCCTTCGTCGGCTTGCATGCCACCGCTCAACTTCTGCAAGGGAACAGAGGGAGGCAAGGTCAGGCGGAGGTGCAGCCGGCTGACTCGCGAGCAGGGGTTTTGGAGACGGGCGGCCCGCTCTGGCAAACTTCTCAGCCTGTTCGTTATTTTAATCACTTTACCCGTGTGATTGCTAGTCCTCACTCGAACTCAAGCCCGATTACACCGAGCGAGTCAATGCAATCAAGAGGATGGGACACTCAATCAATCAATCAATCAATCAATCAATCAATCAATCAATCAATCAATCAATCAATCAATCAATCAATCAATCAATCAATCAATCAATCAATCAATCAATCAATCAATCAATCAATCAATCAATCAATCAATGGGCTGCAGAATCGACCAGAAGTCTAAAAACAGAACCTGAGCAAAAAGTTAAGAGTTAACACGACACATTAAATGATACAAAATCCCAGAGTAAGATCCTAGCTTCAGCAGGCTATGCACAGTAGTACAGACCACAATCCCTAACAATTCTTCTTGTCTACGCACAGCTGATCTTCAGTCGTACCGTGAAGATCTTTGCGCTTTGGTGGTTACTGCTGCCAAAGCAACATTTTTTAAAAAATCTGCAAAGCCAATTAGATCTCCTGCAGCCAATCAGAAGCCCTGCTGGGCGAAAACCCCACCTGTTTTCTAAAAGCACTCGGCGGGCACCGTGTTGGAGAAGCCTGCTCCGACTGCTTCCCCAAGCTCCCAGTGAATAATAATAAGAGACTGGATGTATACCCTGCCCTTCACTACCCAAAGGAGTCTCAGAGCGGCTTACAAACTCCTTCTCCTTCCCATCCCCACAACAGACACCCTGTGAGGTAGGTGGGGCTGAGAGAGCTCAGACAGAAACTGCTCTTGAGACAACAGCTCTGACAGAACTATGGCTTGCCCAAGGTCATCCAGCCAGGTGCAAGTGGAGGAGTGGGGAATCAAACCCGGTTCTCCCGGAGTTGAGTCCGCACACTTAAGCACGACACCAAACTGTTGGGTGTTGTTTTTTTTAGAAAACTCGATTTTCAGGCGCACAGAGGGAGCCGTAAAGAGGAAGTTTTTGTGTAAGGAAATAGTTTAAACAGAGTGCAGTTCAGTCTGGGGGGCGCGGGCAGACAGAACGGCCAGCAGAGGGACCGAAACTACTTTGATGCTGGCTCCCTGGAGCTCCTTGCGACCACCACCGCTTCTGTTAGAGAAGATCCTCTTCTGGCGTCTCCTTACCCTGCCGGCCAGAGTGGAGGCAGACAGCCCTACGCCTTTCCCAGGAGGCCGCCGATCCCCCCCAAGCCCCCAGCGCTGTCTAATTGACAGTAATGGGTCTCCTGGCCCGGATCCCAGCATCCCGGAGACTCGGGCGGGGGACAGAGACGCTTGTGTTCTCCCTCCCACATTAGAATCCTGCTCACCCGGAGGCTGCCAGGCGACGAGCTCGGGGACGGAAACGGCTGTGCCAAAGAGGCGCCTGGATTCCGCATCGGGGGGGGGGGAGACCCCGATACCGGCGGCGATGGGAAATCAAGACTTTTGGAGGAGAGAGGGAATTTCTGGATTGCAGATGCCCTGGGGGGGGGATACAGCTGCGTCTTTTGGAACGCCGTGCTGGCCATCTGGAAGAGTCCGGGGTTGCCGAGAACAAGCGGAGAATAGAGTCAGGGGCCGGGGAGGTTTGCGAGGCCTCGACGGGGTGGGGGTGGGATGGAGAAAGGATAAAAAGACCTCTACCCTACACTGTCTCCAGTTAAGTGTTCACGAAACCATGTCGTAATGCAAAAAAAACACTAAGCATTTTACAGGGGTCATTTTGTAGAAAAAAGAGGTGCAGGGGCTCATTAGCATAACTTATTTGCATATGCCACACCCCCTGACATCACCGGAAGTGTGTCAGAAGGCAACACCCACCGCTTAGGCTCCACTGGACTCTTTTGGATTGCTAGCTATTGGGGGGGGGGACATGCAGATCTGTCCTTGCAGAGGAGGGAGAGCTTGTGCCTGAATAAAACTTGGTCTTAAA